GGTCTTATCCTCAGTTCGCAAAGGCAGTCCTTGACAACTACAACAAATTCTTCTCCGAAGTCAAATCGAAAGTGAAGGTATACTATGAGAACATCGACGCACTCATGACGAACGAAGAAGGGTATAACAAACTCATTGAAATGGGAATGGTCGGTGAAAAGATGGGCTTTTTTAAGCTAGACAAGGTATTTTCCGAAGTTCATGTAATATCGAAAAGGAAATATTGGGCCATACTTGAAGACGGCACAGAAATAAAACATTGCATGAAATAAAAAATTGCATACCATTTTAAAACGTTTTTAAAACAGTATATTTTTACATATATTAAATGCTTCAGGTTGAAAAACAAAGAACAAAAGTAGCAGATACAAAACCGTTAGACTATATCTTTACAAACGCTGGTAGGAATATATCAGATGAAGAAATTTCATCCCGCACATATAGATTTGACTATCCAATTCGTTGGCTTCAAAGTCCTTCAGATGCAAAGGCAATAGGATTTAGAAGAGTTTTGTTTTCAAATAGAACTAATGCATTCATGTTCGCAGTATATTTTCATGGTCAGTATAAAGGTTCTGATGGTCTAATAGAAAAATTTGATGAAATGAAAATCTTTACAATTCGTTCAGACGAAAGTCTTGAAAAAACTCTAAATGACTTTCAAACTCAAATGAACAAATACTACTGGGAATTTCAAGAAAAATACCACTCTTTACTAAATGGAACATACTATCTGAAACTAGAATACGACAAGATGAACTCCACCGTTTCATTTCAAAAGATTGAAATTAACCCTCCAAGAGATACAGAGTTTTTATATTGGGGAGTAGACAAACGTTCTTGGGCACAATTTCTTCGGTTACTAAACCAGAACGAACCATTACCACCAGATGGTCCATTTAAATTTATACTCCCACCAGCAGATTTGACAGTTTATAGAAACGTGTTTGACCCTCAAAATGTCATGTGTCATGCAAGTTTCAGTTCAAGCAACAACAGTTTTCTATGTATCGGTAAGGACTTTTATGACTTTGCTTCTAAATTCTACGAACCACCTAGTAACAGTTTCTCTGACTTTCAAGTTTGGTTCACAACAAACGGTGTGCAGCATATAATTCCATTGTACTATGACTTTTATCTCGAATTGTCTTTCATATACAACTACGGAAAAGTGCTGAAAAAGTATTGAAAAATATATTTTAGATCTCACCAGGTCCCTCGGTCCCTCGGTCCCCAGGTCATTTTAACTTCTCTGAAAAAGTGTGACAACATGACATTTAGACAACAACACAGGAAATAGACTTCATCGTCAATGTTTTGTCATGAATTTCATCGTAAATGTTTTGTCATGACTTCTTCATCGTAAATGTTTTGTCATGACTTCTTCATCGTAAATGTTTTGTCATGACTTCTTCATCGTAAATGTTTTGTCATGACTTCTTCATCGTAAATGTTTTGTCATGACTTCATCGTACATGTTTTGTCATGACTTCATCGTACATGTTTTGTCATGACTTCATCGTAATGAGCGTAAATCAGACAAAAATATATTTTAGGTGAAGTGGTGAGATCTCACCTCTTTTCTCACCTCTTTTTTCACCCGTTGAATTTTCATGAATTTCCTTAAGATAGAAAAAAAATGAGTTAAAATGAGATGTTTACTGAACTGGTTGGATGCCGCCTTCTGAGGTTATGTAGAACGGCTGACCCAAGAAGTGGAACAAGACTTGTACTTTTTCAGAACAATGTCCGACGGTTAAGCCACAAACGAATGTCCGACGGTTAAGCCACAAACGAATGTCCGACGTACCACCAAAAAATATATTTTAGGTGAAGTGGTGAGATCTCACCTCTTTTTTCACCTCTTTTCTCACCCGTTGAATTTTCATGAATTTCCTTAAGATAAAAAATATATTTTAGTTTTTTAAAAAAATATTTTTTTATTTTTATTGTAAGAACATGTTAGCAACAACTTCACCAAACTCGTTAGTCATGAACCCAACTTCAATGTTAGTAGAGATGAAAAGCTTCATTCCTTCTTCATATACTTTCGAAACAGAAATCCAGAAGATAAAGCAAGAACTTCTCCAAGGAGATTTAGACTGTAGTGCGAAAGATGAAACAAATGAAGAATATCTTTATGAAATGCAGGATATTATTGACCATCTACCTAAACTTCCTGAAATACAACAACAAAAGCTTACTATTCCAGAATTCGATGAAATAGAAGTGAAACCAACTGACTCAGTAGAAACCAAGAAGTTCATACGTAAGGTAAACTATGAGTTTCTTGGATTTCATTGCAACCACAAAGTCATGGACAAAGACTGCGATATGGTATATAAAAATGTTTCTGACATATACAAATCTGAAGAATTTAAGACCTACGACAACTTTGTTTCGTTAGTTGCAAAATGTGTATGGCAGATAAGAGATAAAGATAGAAGAGGTAAGGTATGGAATGAACAGATAAAACCAGCAACCTTTGAGTTAAAGAAAACCATTGACGCCTTAGTTGTTTTAGCAGGTCAAATTTCAATGTACAATGCTAAAATGAACCCACAATGTTCAAAATGTAAAGCAGCAATGAGGAAATATAACTACTCCGTCAAAGAGATAGAAAGAATGCGAAACGACTATGCTGATTTAAAGGAAGAAGCAGAGAAACCAGCAGAAGATAAAATGGACATGTTGACATTTCTGAACAAAAACTATCCAACTGCTGACGATTTCCTTCTTTCAGATGTCAAGAAGAAATATAAAGAAACCTTCGGCATTGTTAAAACATTCGATATCCTCAGCGAAGAAATCGAAGCTACAAAACTGTTTAGGATTTCAAATATACATCGTACAATTCATGTAAAACGCTTGTGAAAAAGAGGTGAGAAAAGAGGTGAGAAAACAGGTGAGATCTCACCTCTTCACCTAAAATATATTTTTGCTGAGTAAAATGACCAAATTTCATTATATAACTGTTATGAGTGACGAAGAGAACTTTGACACTTCGTAAAAAAAATCCCTGAAATCGTGAAAAAATGACCAAATTTCATGAATTTCCTCATATGTTTGCTACCCAAGGAAAATCGAGGGTAGAGATTCCATTCGAAAATCGTAAAAAACTCTATGAAAATCGTGAAAAATTGCGAGTAGTAAAAAAAACCCACTCGCCTAAAACTCATGAAAATCGTGAAAAAACTCATGAAAATCGTAAAAAATTGCGAGTACGTTAAAAACCGTAGTCGCCTAAAACTCATGAAAATCATGAAAAAATGACCAAATTTCATGATATAACTGTATTTTTTTGACGAAGAGAACTTTGACACTTCGTCAAAAAAATCCCTGAAATCATGAATTTCCTTAAGATAGAAAAACAACGTTAGTTTTTTTAAAAAAATATTTTTTATTTTGTATGTAAGAACAGTAAATGACAAACACTGAGTTTGAAACAGTTAGAAAGATAGACAATGACACCAAAGTGGTTAGAATAGGTGATTTAAACGTAAGATACTCAAAGAAATACAAAAAATATTCTTTGTCAGACATTTTAACACTATCTGAAGGAAAGAAAGCACACGACTGGGTTAGAAATGCTTCTACTCAGAAAATTTTGACAAGAAATCCTGAGCTTATGATATCGGTAAGATTCTATGGAACAAGAGCATATCTTATAGACAAAAGTCTTATACCAGTAGTTTTGTTCTGGATTGACCCAGTTGTTGGATATAATTTCATAACATATGGTTCATTCGATACGGAACGTTGCAGTGAGGGCTTACTTTACATCGTTCAGAAACCGAAGGACTTCAATACAAAGAGATATAAGATAGGAAGAACATTTAATATAACTCAAAGATATGACAGTATAGTCAATAGAGTTAAGGTTGCGTTTGTTAACGATATGAGAGCTGCTGAAACAGAACTACTTGAAAAGTTTGAGAAAATGTATGGTGCTCCCACGAAAGGTAAAGAAACTTTCGAAGTAGATGAGATAGCTAAAGCTATAAAATTATTTGACGAAGTTGCTGAAAAATACATGTAAAGCGTTTATTTTTGGTCTTTTATACAAGATAGAAAATAGCGTTAGTTTTTATAAAATATTTTTTTTTATTTTGTATGTAAAGACAGATATGACAACATCAGAGAACACAACAACTGCTATCGTTCATGAAGCCATAAGTGAAGAATACGAGTACATACAGTTTAACAAACAGTTACGTCTCATTCGTTCGGTCAAAGATGACATGTACCAAATGCAAAGTATTTTGACAGCATGTTTTGCTCCAGATACTAAGAAACCACAAGACTGGTTTAGGAACCAAAGCACACAAGAATTTTTGAGCGAAGCACAGCGAGACATACTTTTTTCTGAAAATCGTGAAGAACAGCGAGTAAGTAAAAAATCTTACTCGCCTAAAACTCATGAAAATCGTGAAAATTTGCCAAATGGTTTGAGAGGCTGGTATGTACATAGACTTCTTGTAAATGCTGTTGCAATGTGGGCTTCAGCTCGCTATTCATGGTATGTTTGTAAACTTCTTGACGAAATTCATAGACAAGAACGTGAAGAGCTAGAGAACAAGCTTGAAGCAAAAGACAAAAACATACAGAAAAGAATACCACGTTCGGTACCAAAAGGAAAGGAAAAGAACTATAAGTATATGATTTACACTGAAGAGATGGAAAATGAAGAAGACAGAGATATGGTTATGTTGCATTTAGTCAGAAGAAACAACAAAAGCTTTACGACCTTGCTAAGATTTACAAATCTGACAGAAATTGGTTCTATCGCGAAAACTTACCGATTTCAATGACACCGAATGAAGATGTTAAACAGATAGTTCAAGATACGTTACCTCAAACACACTATGATATGAAAGGTTGTACAATACTTACATTCAAAGAAGATTTGCCGCTACTGAAGGAAAAGATAACAGAGTATTTCGATAACTTCAAAGAGGAAGAGTAAATGAACCATTTATTTTTCAAGCTTGACACCAAAGATGGCTCATGTAGCTCTAGATGGTAAATTGTCTTGTCCGAGTCCTTCTGGCATTCCGAGTCCTTCCTTCCGACAGGAAAAGTTTTTCCTTCCAACAGGAAAAAAATTTCCTTCCAACAGGAAAAGTTTTTCCTTCCAACAGGAAAAAATTTTCCTTCCAACAGGAAAAAATTTTCCTTCCAACAGGAAAAAATTTTCCTTCCGACAGGAAAAATTTTTCCAGTTGTCCGTCCGTAAACCATTCAAATTTTCGAAAATTGAGAACTTTTTGGCCGACCTTCAGGAAAAATTTTTCTTTCCGACAGGAAAAATTTTTCTTTCCGACAGGAAAAATTTTTCTTTCCGACAGGAAAAGTTTTTCTTTCCGACAGGAAAAGTTCTTCCTTCCGACAGGACACAAACGAATGTCCGACGTACCACCAACCGAGTCCATTCCAAAGCCAGAAGAACCGACAGCCCCAGCACCACAACAGACTAAGACTCAAACACTTACATTTTTACGCTTGACTTTTTACAATTTGAACTTTGTTTGCGTAGATGTGAATTCTGAAAGAAGTATGAGGGTCTTGTATGACTTTGTACTTCTCCCATAGTTCATGTCTGTCAAACTTACCTGCCATGGACTCTTTCATAAGTTCCATGAAATCGTCTTCGGACAATCCGGGGAAAAGTATGATATCAGTAAGTATTCTCTTTACATCCTTACTTAAACTCTTGGCTGTCTGTACACAAATGACAACTGAAATGTTAAAGTGTCTGAGCTTCTTAAGAATTCGACACATGTCTTGTTCTCTGTTCTTTAACAAAGGATGAGAAGCAAAGTCATCTAAGATAAGAAGACATCTGTGAGGGTAAGTCTTCCAATCGTAAGATTGCAATTTCTTCGAAAGGTACTCAATCTCTTTCTGTTTGTTTCTGAAGTGTTTCTTCTCTAATATTCTCTGCATTTCCTCATTTGGGTCTTTAAACTTAGAATTGACATACTCATTTATAGCATTGTACTTCAAAACTCTTCTTTGGTACTTCTTTATCCAATCTAACAACTCAGAGTCTTTTATACATACTAACTTAGACTTTTTTATAATATCTTTGAACGAATTTACGGTTTGGTCAAATTGACCCGAAGTACTACAAATGACTACTAACTCATAGAATGGGTTCTTCTCATCTAGTTCTTGTTGTTGTGCAGCCATTTTAAGATAAGTGAAAGTCTTACCCGACCCAGGTGGTGCGATTAGACCTGTTATACCATTCTGAGCAAATAGGAACTTGTCATGTATGGGTTTTATCTGAGCATTTTCCAACTTCCTCTTGTTCTTATTTAAAACATTCTCAAATTTCTTGTCAATGTCAGCAAACTTTTTTTCTAACATATTTTTAGAAAAATTAAAATTTTTATCTTTTAGGAAATGTCTAGCGATTTCGCTATCTATATTCGAGACAAGCTTTTCGACAGCAAAACATCTGTCGACCATAAAATCTTACATAGTGTAAACAAGAAAGGTGAATTTGTTCTAAAGTTCTGTTTCTGGGAATATGACAAGAACCATAAAACATTAAGCAGAGAAGTCTTAAAATTTGTCAATGACAGACTTGTTGACAGAGATGACGCCTCTTGGAGAGATGAAGTCCAACAAAACTTCTTAGAATGCAAAGAAGACACATGCGCTGTTCTTGAAAATGAAATAGAAAACAGAATAGAAGAGCTATTAAATGACAAAGCACTTTTACAAAAATATGGTTCTGAGAAGTTTGACATAACTCCACCAGAAAAGAAGAAGAGAGAAAAGAAAGAAAAGAAAGTAGAAGAAGAGAAGAAAGAACCAGAGCCAGAGAAGAAGAAATTTGACATGTAAAAATAAAATTTTATTTTTAGAACATTTCTGGGTCAATGTCAATGTTCTCTTCCTCTTTAGGAGCAAACACCGGCTTAGACTCTAAAATCTTTTTACCCAATTTACCTTGAACTTCAACTATCTTAGACTCATAATATTCATAAGTCGTCTGCTTTCTTTGGTTCAATAAGGTATAACAAGTTTGTATGCTTTGCCTTCTTTAAGGTTTGAGAACCTTCTGTCAAAACTTTCTTTGACTGTTAACAAACCTTCTATGTCTAAGTCTTCAATTTCGCACCATTTTTAGTCCACAATAGCAAACTTAACTGGTTCGATGTTCCAAACTTTGTCAAATGAAGACTTTTCAAAATGGTAGAAGTAAACATTCAAATATGTGAATAGGTCTAGTTCTTCTTTAAGTCCTGACATGTACTTGTTGACTGAGATGAATTTCGTCATCTTTTCTATCGGATAAAAAAATATTTTTTTTTTAAATTTACTCAGAAAAATTTTTCTTTGTATATACACCATTCTGAACATCTAAAAGACTTTTGACATTTGCCAAGAATGTTCGTTTAGACGCTGTCATATAACCATACTCTTGACAATACTGTTTATACGAATCGTACAATGACCTTTCATCTAACACTCAAGTCAGTTTCATCTATGAACAGTTCATATACACTCTTGTTTGCTTCTAACAATGTTGTCTCTCTTCGGTATGTGGAATTTGTCTTGGATTGAACTTAGAAATATCTAATGTCATGAAATATGAGAACAAGTGGTTGTAAAAGTCAGATGTCAAAGTTTCTGCTAAGTCGTCAAATATTCTGTATCTTGCATATGAGAATCTGACGTTCTGACAACTACATATCTTCTGTCAGAACTTTCTAACTTCATCGGAACAGCGTTGTTTGAAACCATGATGAAATTTGCAACATTTTCACAAACTCTTTGGTCTTTATACTTTCTTTCAACAACTCCAACTTTGTCTGTTATAAGACTCTTCAAAGCATCTGAGTTTAAAACCTTTGTTGTATCTATACTTTGAAGTTCGTTACATACTATAAGTTTCATATTCTCTATTGAAGAGTTAAATTTACCGCAGATTTTTCTAAGTTTGTCATATTCGGATTCGAATAGCCCTCTAACAGTTTGCATAAGATATCTGTAAAGAAAGTGTTCTTACCTGTTCCTTGTTTTCCAATTACAATGAGAGCAGTTTCATTTTTAGCACTTGGATGTTGTAAGATGTTTGCAAACCAACATAAGATATACTCATAGACTCTTTCGTTTCCATTGCATATAATTTCTTTGACATGGTCTAACCAAGCTTCTATAACATTTTCTTTCCATTCTACTTGTTTCGTATTTATATCCAGTGAAGATAGAATAGAAGTTTGGAGAAGGTGTATAGAACTTTATACCACGAACTGAAAAATCTTCTAACTTTGACAATAAGATATCCCAAGCATCTAACATCTTCATACCAACTTGTACGACTTTTATTTTCTTAAGTTTCTGTTTACATTCTTGTTCTGAAACTATTGTTGCTCTTGGTTTGTTAAAGACTACATCCCATTCTTTCATGACATAACATTCTGGGGCAGAGTCGACATAAATGACTAAACGTTTCAAATTCTCGACTGCTTTGTTATAGTCTCGAAATGGACACATATTTCTGAAGGCTTGGAAGTCATAAAAATCTGAAACGTCTATTCTGTACATTTTTATAAAAATAAAAAAAAATATTTTTTTTATTCTTGAGCTATTTGTTGATTTGTTCCATTTGTTGCATTTGTTGTTCTTGAGCTATTTGTTGTTGAAGTTGTTCTTGTAGTACAATACTTTCACCAGTTGCATCTTCCAATTCGAAACTTTCTGCGTCATTGACAAATACATAGGACATAAAAGTTTTACAGGAACAAAGTTTGCGTCAACTAAGGTTAAGTTTATGTTTGCTAAAGTGTTTGAGTTTACTAAAGCTGAAAACTCTGCATTCGAATGAACAATAGGCAAACCAGCAGAGAAAGTGTTGTTTATACGCATGAGTATCTTTTGGTCATAGTAGTTTCTGTCGACATTCGAATAGCACTTTGAACCTAAGTTTGAAACAATATATAAAATAGGTGTGCTTAAAGTCAATGGAACAGACAAACCTTGTATGACACCTTTTCCTGTTATAGGAAACTGTTGGTAGTAAAAACCAGATATAAGTTTTGTATTATAGCTCATATCGTTTATAGTAAACTCAGTCGGACATCCAAACATAATGAAACCTGCTCTAGTTGCAGCACATGTTACATCCGTCCTTAAAGTATTAAATAAGTCAACAAAACCTGTTGGTGGTATATCTGAGTAAGTATCTTCAAAGGAGTATTTTTACCATTCACAACAATAAAATCTTCTGGTGTCAAAAGAGCAAAACAGGCTTTAGTCGTCATCGTGTTTAAGGTCAGTTTACAATATCGTCCTTGAGGACTTTGTAAGTTTGTTTAAGAATTATATGACTCAGGGTTTTTAGTCGTAATAGTATAAACCACTAATGTCTTCTGCCATTTACATATATTTAAAAGTTTTTCTGAAAGTGGAGAAGAACTTCATCTAAACTTTCACATGGCGTTTCTTGAAGTTCTCTGTCTAAGAAGTTCAAATATTTTGTAAAGACATAGAACTTTCCTTTGTCTACACGAACAAACAAAACAGGGTCTTTCATATCGTTCAAAAGTGTGTAAAGTCCTTTACATGAAATAAAGTCTATATTGTTTTTCTTCAAACATCTTTCAAGAAGTTTTGACATTTTTACTTAGCAAGTAAATTTTAATGAAATGTTGTGGTCGTCAAATATTTTTATGACGTCTGGGAAACTATATTTTAAGTTCAACGTTTCACCTCCTTTCATAACGTATATCTTGTCAATGACATTATATGAAACACCACAGCAAGCAATGTCGGGTTCTATTTCTTTGATGTTTATATCGTCTGCCTCTGTCAAAAGTTTCAATAGTTCTTTCAAAACTTCATGAGGTGCGATGACATATGAGTTCACTTTTACAGGGTTGTGTTCGACCAAGTTTAACATTAGACCTAAAGCTTGACAAATCTTCTCCTGAGTTTTAAGTTTGTCTTTAAGTTGTTGGTAGTCGTTTCGAATATCTGCAACAGAACTTAAGTCTCTGCTAACTTCAGGGTATGTTGGTTCTTTTACAGGAACTATTGTTATACCATCTTCGTCTTCGTATGGTTTCCCCACTTCAACATCTCTGTCTTTGACATTGACAACAACACTTTGACTGTTTGTTTGAGTTGGTGAATTTAACTTCACATCTGCCATCGCCATTAAACCTTTTGAAACACTTACGCTTCTATTTTCGGAAATGACATTTTACTTAGAATAAAAAGATGGACGTATTTGAGTATCTCTTCGAATTGAAGCAAAACAAAGTTTACACACACAAACAATACAAGTTCATTGACAGAATAGTTCTTTACACAAACAATGGAAAATGTTATAGAATAGCAGTCTTTGCTGAACCAAAATATTTTCATAAAGCAAAGAAAGTTGGTATAACCGAGATGGTGAAAGTTCTTGAAGCAGACAAAAATATAACAACAAACTGACCGATATTTCTAAAGGTAAGTTTATAATACAATATTATATCAAAACTGGCGTACTGTCAATATTTGACGGAGAGAAGTCAATTCAAGAACAACTTACTGACCTGCTGCCAAAATCTGCTCGATGGAAGCTGTCGTTATACCAATCTGAGGAGCCCCAGCAGGTTTCATCGAACGAATCTTCAAAAGAGCATCTTCCGTGAAAAGTGCTATTGGTTTTGTAAACTTCTTTGCTTTCAATTCATCTGGACCGTCTCTGTCACCAGTATATTGTATTTGAACTGTACCAACAGTTGAAATACCACCCATAAAGTCTTCTGAGTCAGCAAATGGAATGCCAAGCCAAAAGTTTGAACGGTCTCCATTTGTATATTGAGTGTTTTGAGCTCCTGTATGGGTCCATACTTTCACATATGGCATAATAGAACTTTGCATTTCAGGGTTAATGGTTGTTGTGAAGTTGTTGTTAAAGTTCATAGCATCTAATGTCAAGTTGTATGACCTCATATCCTCAACTGTAGAATATTCTTCTCTTGGATAGTATTTGCCATCTATGTTTATATGATATTTAATACCGGGGTTGTAGAAACAAGAATAGTCATTTATAGTTCGTCTGAACAGTACAAACATAGTATCTGCATGTTTCATTGCAGTTGTCAAAGCAATATCTGTTCTTGCACCTGGGTCAGCACTTTGGTTTCCAACTTCACCTGCAAAGTCTTTGACAGATATTTGGTGTATAGGGAACATAAGTGGAACTGCAATATATTTGGCAGCTAAAGCATTTGAAATATCTGGGTCCAACATATAGACTGCAAGTCTGCTTTCTATTCTCTTGCATTCAAATTTTTCGCATGTGAACTTAACTGGGTCCCAAGCAGTTCCAGCAGCATTGAAGTAGTAGTTTACTTCAGTGTTGAGGTTTGAGAAACCAAAGTCTAAGTCAACTTTGTCTTTGCAAAAGTCACAGAACTTGGCTCCACCAGTTCCAGCTACAGTAAGAGTGAATGGGTCTTGTGTTGGTGCAATGACTAAGTTATTTTTGCTTGGAGTAAGTTCGATAGAAATTTTTCCTGCCCAGTTTGGCAAGTATCTTAAAAACCTGAAGATGAGGAAAGATGACAAAGGAACTCTAAGTTTCAATTTTACTTTGGTTACTGCTGCTGCAGTTTGTCCAGAAAGGTCAACATAAACTCCTGGAACGTTAGGGTCAAGTCTTCTTATTTTCTCAATAGTTGCATACTGGTCTGTTTGTTCTCTAGCTTGTGGTTGTACTGAGTTTCTCAAAGCGAACCATTCATAGTTTGCCCATGTTACTGTTTGAACTAAGTCAGAGTTAGAATATATCTTATATCCCATGAAAACTTCTGGAGCATATTGGTATCCGACATAGAAAATTCCATTGCAACCTTTCTTGTCAGACAACTTGGCAGAAGGTTTTATTTCAATGTCTTGTTCCACGTATAAGAAAGAGTTGTCAATAGAAATAATATGAAACCTGTCGCAAGCAATATCTACTGTTGTTGAAGAACCTTCTCCAAACTCACCTACGTTTCCATAAGAAACAGCAGTTGTATATTCGTAAGTTCCAGGAACTATTTCTGACCTTCTAATGGCATTGTCGCATTCGTTATACCATTCGGAAACATTTCCATTCATGGCATCCAAAACTGTTGGCGTTATATTCTGAGCGGCGTACATTTCATATGGGTAAAAATATAGAATAGTTGGATTTATATGTCATAATAGAACCCACGTGGACCAAGCTTTACTTTCTTCCTGACTGAGTTTTTAACTCTTCTTTTTCCTTCATTGCCACTACTTTCACTAGATGAAGTTACTTCTTCACTACTTTCACTTTGTTCTACTCTTCTTCTTTGGTGTCGCTTTGGTAACTTGCCCTCTGCTTCAAGTTGTTGCATCTTTGCCTCATGTTCATCTAGTATGTTGCAAATTTTCCATGTCCTTTTTGCCTTTGGGCTCTGGTCGCCCATCTCAGGTAACCTATATCCTAGAAAGAGTTTGTCATAGTTTGTATTTGAGTCGTCGCTTATTGTTTGCATGACTCTTTCCTGAGTTTCCGGTTCAAGCTCTTCAAACAGTGCCTGTCCATATGGAATATGCTCGTTTCCAAATATATGTTTTTGTAGCCATTCTGGTTTTCTTTCCATGTTACCAACTATATCTTTTGTGAATGGGAAAGCTTTTACCCAATCTTTCAGTCTTGCGTCGTTTATTTCTGTAGTTGGTTTTATTTTGTCAAGGAACATGTTTTTCAATACTAACATTTCATTTGGTACTGTCCATTTGAGTTTTCTTAAATATTCATCCCTTCTCAGTTCATCGTCTGCAAAGTAAGTTTTTATGACATTTTGTAAACTTTCGTTTGCAAGGTCATGTACAATAGGTTCTCTTCCTTCTCCCTCCCTAACTTTCTTTCTAAACTCTTCACCAAATATACCATCTCTATGGTTCTGTGTAGTTCTTTGAGATAAATGTTCTAGAACGTCAGGTGTTATATTTCCATCAGCCATGTTCATTTCATACTGGTCCAAAATATCTGCATGTTTCATATCTTTCAATGGCATTAAAGCCGCGCTTAAAATACCAGCTATATCTGGTTCACCATTGACTTCCATTGCGTCTACAACTTCTTGGAATTGTGGTTGTAAGTTTATGAACCACCTATCCGGGTTAGCTTTATGACCCCATCTCATTGTAGTTCCATCGTCTGCAGAAACAAAAGTAGGTTTGTTTCCATCTTGGTTAGGTTCTGAATGAACTTTAAACAATGTTTCATTTCTATATGTTTTCTTGAAATTTAACCTTTTATTTTCACCGAGTTCATCCGAAGATTGAACGTTAAATGCTCGTAAGTAAAAAGGGTTGTTGTATTTGTGTACATTTTCTTTCAGTGCTTCCATTCTATGCTGAATATTTTCATCTGGTGTTGGAGTCTTTTGTATGTCGGCAAACATTTTTCGATATTCTTCTACTATGTCAGCCGAATTTTTTTAGACTCTTGGAAATATTCCATATTCTCCGCATACTCTTGTTGAGGGTCAAGATTTTTCGGCTGTTCCAAATCTTCATCTAGTTCTGTGAAGTTAGTTTCCAAAGGAGTGACTTGTTCGTTTCCTTCAGGCTCTTCTAGCTGTTGTTGCTGAACTATTTCTTCCATGTCTGGTTGTATCTGAACTAGTTCTTCCTGTGGAGTTTCTTGTACCTCATCTGCTGGCATTTCATATATTCCGAGACCGTTTTTAACAACTTCCCTTTCTAAGTCATCCGGACTCATAAACCTTTCTTCTTTCGTTCCGTCTCTATTTTTTACGCGTTTCATGACGGGAGTTGAATTGTCATTTAGCTCTGACATCAAATATCTCGGAGTAAATTCAGTCATGTCATTTGGATGATATGCTATTAAATCATATCCCTTAGCGAGCTTGTATTTTCCAGGTTTGAAATTATATCCCATTTGGTGCTGAACCATAAAGCTAAATAGGTTCGGGTCAGTATTTCCATCCTTGAACTTTCGAATAGCTTCTTTATATCTGTCACTAAAGTCAATACTATCTGGGTAACCATAGTCTTCCTTAAGCCTTTTTAAGAATTCTTGGTTTCCTTGTTCTCTACTTCTTTTATGTCCTTGCTCTGTTTGTGGTTGTTGTTGTGCAGGGTTTTGAACTGTTGGTTGCTGTGCTGGTTGTGGAGGTGGTTGTTGTGCAGGGTTTTGAACTGTTGGTTGTTGTGCTGGTTGTGGAGGTGGTTGTTGTGCTGGTTGTTGTGTTGGTTGTTGTGTTGGTTTTGGTGCATGCCTGTGTCTATGTCCATGTGACGATGTAAATGTTTTAGGTAGTCCTGGTGCAGGTGCTTCTCTTGGAGGGTTTGGTGGTATATAAATTCCAACAGCTGGTATATAAGTTAGTTAGTATACAAGTCTCGTGTATGGAGGCACTGCGTTCCTCCATACGCAATACTTGTGAATTTGACACTTTACAAAACCGTTAACGTATATTTTACAACACAAACACAAACACCAACTTAACCTTAAATATTTATAAAGCCGCCAACCACTTCACCTCACTACTGTAAAAAATAAACGTTCTCACTTACAAAAGTATTGCAACTCTTCCCATTGCTTTGCTTCACACAACAGTTCATATTCTTCACTATTGCTGCTGTCACTCCAATCGTCAGAGTCAAAATCACTGTCAAAATAAATGTTAGTAAGTTTTGACAAAGCTAATGAAACACGTTTACCGTTTGTATCGTATGCTTGTATAAACTTTCCATTCTTCATTCCTTCATAAACGCTCAAACTAACTTTACCCTTTCTCCCTCGTATCTGATAGAATGTATTTTCACGAGGAACGAAGAACAAATTCTTGAACTCATGACCGTTGTAGTTTGTTATCTCAATAGTTTTCGTCATTTATATAAAAATAAAATAAAAATAAAATAAAAAATAAACTTAAAATTAATGATATCACCACTCCCACACGTATGAAAACATCCATTTAAATTTAGGTGAAGTGGTGAGATCTCACCTCTTTTTTCACCTGTTTTTTCACCCACTTGAATTCATTACTTTATAACTCTCTTCCTTGGTTTCTTTTTAGTTGCTTTCTTCACGTCTGTCTCCAACTTGACTGTCTTTCTTCTTCGTCCATAATGATACCAATTACTTCCACCAGTCAATGGGTCAAATGGTCGTTCATAAGGGTTTCCATACATTCCAAGGTCCGTATGGATAAACGCTGGTGGAGAAGAAACATTTTCTTTAGTTCCATCGACTCTATTTAAATGCATTGTTTCACCTTTCATCTGGTCATTAAAGTCTTTTGCGTGTTTTGCAAACTCATCGTCCTTTCCTAAAGCATTTTCTGACTCAGTCGCAACCAAATTGGATGCTTTATTTATGAGCCCTATTTTATTTAATCTTAACTTCTTTGCAACCCAGCCTCCAATCTTTCCTTTATTTGCATCTAATGTCTTCGAAACCCTTCCTCCACTCATTTTATTTACTGCGTCATAAGCTCCAAGTGCTTTTGCTCCAAATGCTAATGCTTTTGTTCCCATTGCGCCTAAAGCTGCCCAAGCTACCATTTACACCATATTAAAATCATCTCTCTTCAATATTATCTCATAAAAGTTCTCGTTACTGGAGAAAGTCAATGAAACATAAGCGTTCTCACGGGCTTCGCCCTCACCGCTTTGCGGTCTATCTAACTTCTTTCTTATCTCATCTATTCGCTTCAAAATGTCTGAACAATTGCTAACATCTTCTACAACAGTTATTTCATCATGAATGACCTTCAAGAACAAGCTCATTTAGTATGCAATTAAAATCATCTCAATAATGAGTCCATCCTTTCCGTCTTTGGGTAGCACAACATCTTTCATTGAAGAAGGTTCGACAAGTCTTATGTTAAACTTACTGACAAAGTTTGTTATACTATAATGCTTCGGTGGCGAATACATGTAGTTTGAAAGACATAATATAGATTCTTCAGCAAATTCACTTATACTGGATTTTATAACAATGTTCTCACGAGACCAAACGCCACCAATTGACAATCTTGTAAGCAATCCTGCTGAGCCTTCTACTGTAAATGTCGATGGTAACATTCCACGAAGGTCATCTATTGACATCTTTGAGTCACTGAATTTAAATTTTCTTAAAGCAATCGTCATTATCTAACCATGCAATAGCTTTGAAGTTTTCATTCGAATATACATCTGCTTCATTAAATGTAAAACCTGACTTCTTTGCAGAGATGACTTTAAAATCTATTGAGTTTGTTTCAAAATTATATGCTATGGTAACTTCTGAAGGTAATGGATGCCCTTCCGCAGTCAGTTGTTCTCTCACTACCGTTTGAAGCTTTGTGTTAAAAACTTTCATGTCATCTCCTGTGTCTAAGTTCACATACACAGCAACAGGGAAACTATCTTGCTTCTTTGTTTCATCATTATATCTCAAAACATTAAAGTTCTTCAATAATATTGTCCTTCCTGCTGGAATACTTCGAACCTGTCTGATTTCAATAGCTTTCTCACCTCCTACATACTCTACCCAGTGTCTTGGATATTCATAAGTATACTGACTTTCTTGAATTTTGGTTGGTTTCATCATAACATGTTCATAGTATATCTTTATACTCTTGTCAGTTAGACTCGGTGCTATGTTCTGAATATTTCTGACTTGCATTTTTAATGGAGATAAAATGAAGCATTTAATACATGACGTAGATGAAGACATGAATGAAAGCAGTGAAAAGCTCAACAGTTCTCTTATTCTTCCTTTCAGTAAGGACTATGAGTTCTGTTCAAATGGTGTTTATTTCTATTGTGGAAAGATGGGTTCAGGTAAGACATTTAACCTCATTCGTCATATACTCATAACAGAGCGTTTAGGAAACGACTCTTACTATGACCAAATCATTATATCAGCAACTTCAGACTCTATGGACTCAACAGCGAAAACATTTATGTCAAAAGTTCAAGCCTCAGTCGTTAAAGTTCCAGATAGCGAACTCATTGAATTTCTTCAACGTTACATTCGACGTAAGAGAAAATATTATGCTATTGTAGAGTTCATACAGTCAGGAATGCAAAAGACTTCAGAAGAGATGGAAAGAATTATTGACAAACACCACTTACGTCAATACTCAGGAGTTTACGATATGAAAAGACTTACAAACTACATTCTGTCAAAACTTTCAAAATACCCCTTCAAAAAGTATCCATCAAACACTTTATTAGTTTGTGACGACTTCGCCGGAAAAGGTTTAGTGTCAAAACCAGACTCACCATTAGCTAACATCATAACTAAAGTCAGACATTACCATTTAACTGTAGCAATACTTATGCAAACATGGCGTTTCCTTGCTTTAAACATAAAACGTCTCATAACTGACTTCGTTATCTTTCAAGGTTTCTCACGCTATGATATTGAACTCATTTGGAAACAGTCAGGTATAACATTACCTTTTGAAGAAATTTGGGAAGCATATAAGTCTCTCATCTCTCCTCGTTCATACCTTGAGATTCATATCATGACTAATACCATTAAAGTCAAAAATATTCCATGGGAACGACCAACATTGTTTTAAAGTTTAACCTTAATTGACTGATGGTAAACAAATTCCATGCATCTCTGTCGCCATTTCTGTTAATATTTTTGCTGTCATTCATATCATCCACTTCCCCATCCGTTAGCTTTTGAGGATATGTGTTAGAATAGCTGTTCTTAAATGAAGGCTTTTCACCTTTGAGAGCATAAACTCTATAACTTTCTGCATACTTTATGTTTGAACCTCCTGAGCCATCATTGACATAAATTTTTATAGGCTTCCACCCTTTGTTCATGTTCCTGCTTCTTCCCTTAGCTCTTTTGTTCAGTAGTTCTACATCTTTATACACAGCTCCTGTCTCAGTGAATTCAACAATATTTTCATTCGTTAGCTTTACATTCAAACCCTTGTCGAGTATATTGTTCATTTCATACATATAAAAGGTTTTTATTCTATATGAAATGAGAAGCAAATCCATCTTAGCTGGTGCCGTTAATGTTCCAATTGAACCAACATCAAATGTTGACTCACGAACGACAAACAATATTGTCATAAAGAACTATAGTTCAGAGTGTTTGAAAGAAAAAGAACCAGATCTTAAGTCGGTGAATTTAAACACAGCTTCAAACGCTAACGCTACATCAGATGTTAAGTTAGAGTATCCACCACTGGACCAAATTCTTTCAAGAGAAGCCAACGACAACCCTTACACAAATGTTCAAACAAATCCTTCAGATAACGTAGACCATTACCTTCTTCAGTTATACCAAACAATTTTACTCAAAGACGATAAGAAGCTTTTGATAAATCTTATAAGTAAGAACCAAATAATTCTAACAAAGGAGGACCTTGAAAATGTTATATCACGAATAACAGGAAAGCAATGTGTCATTGACTATCTCGACCCTGAAATCGAATGCTGTGGTCAAACTCCACTATTCATGAAAATAGGTAACATCCGCATCATTGAAACACCAGGAACTACAGGAGTTGAGTTTAAGTATAAATATTCGAACGAGTATACAAAACTTTCAACGACTATAAACTTTGTTTGAAATATGTTTTAGTAAATTAAAGCAATTTGTAATATCTATCCAAAACTTCTTCAACAGTATCGAACTCATCTTCATAATGCAAACCTAATCTTATTGACTTGGTGCAGTTTTCACTAACACAATATTTTTCTGTTCTCTTGACTGACATAACTAACTCATTTGTTTCATCAAACAGCAACAACCAAAGTTCATGACCTAATACATAACATTCATACTTTATATTTTTAGCTCTGAGTTCTCTTGTAAGCTGTTGCATTTAATATTTTCGAAAAAGTCAACTTCAACAGTCATTCGCACTGGTGCCTTCAGTTCTACAGGCTCTCCTTGAAAGTCAACAAGTCTGAATTGCATGTCTTTCAAATTATGAGGACTAATGCGAACCCATTTACCTAAATGAGTTGCTATGACAGGAACGTTTGGAATGAACATTGAATTGACTGCATAACAGAAGGATTTATATTCTACTGAACCTTTACTATTAACTCCTGAAATACCTGTGACATTAGCTATTTTTGACTCAACGTACAAACAATTACCATAACATACGTATGGAACAGATTTCATCTCAATCGTTTTGTCAACACTTTTCAAAGGAAATGTCATATGGTATGCTCCCAAAAGAAGTTGTACTCTATGACTCATTCGTGTTATCTTAAACTCCTTCACATAACTGAACTTCAAAACTCCTGCAATAAGTTTAACATTCATTAAGTTTTCTTCGTTATCCTTGTTTATTGTAGTATTTATGAGAGCATTTAACACTCCAGCTAATGTTTCCATCTTATATTCTACATTATTGTGAAATCTTATTTCGTGCTTCTTTCCATCTATTTCAAGCTCCATGAAATCTGTTTCATCTGTTATAACGAATGAAGCGATAGTATTGAAGTCAACCATTCTGAATGCAAGTGGCTCATTCTGTAGACCTAAGTTTGTTTGTAGCTTTACTGTCCCGTATTCGTTTGGGTCTGTACTTTGCAAATAGAACAACATTTTATTCTCATTAAAATATGAGTATAGCTGCATATGCGTATGAAGCTGACAGAGCTAAACGTTTATATTTTGGTCAATACTCTCTCACACTTACTGACAAATATATTGTTATCAGTGATGGAAATACCGAGAAATACATAACATGGAAGGACTATGAAAAGTTTGACCCTATTTTAACTCCATGTACTATGCCATTCATTGTAAATGGTGAAGTTGTCATGAAGAACGACACGACAGTATATAAGTCTGTATATGAAGCGTTAGAATATATGTTGAATTATAATCCCGAAAGATTTGACCCAAGCACTACACCATGTGCAATGCCTTTTATTAAGGACGGTGAAATCGTAAGAGTTCCGGATTCAACGGTTTATACTGCTGTTCAAAACAGTTTACAAAACATTTTAGCGAATATCTTTAATTCAGAAACTACAGAAATAAAATTACCATATATAACAGATGCTAAAGAAATTAAATCAAAAACGACAACATTATTTACGTCACTTAATGATTTAATGACTTATATCATTAATATTCCTGCACCAACTACAGCATTTGATCCAAACTCGACGGTTTGCAGTGTACCTTTCATAAATGACAGTTCAGTAATTGTTTTAAGGGATTCAACAGTTAATGAATCATTAAAGGCGTCATTAATGAAAATCATTGATTTTAACTCATTCACGAATACATATAATTCATTCATTAATGTTTCATATGCTTCTAAAGAAGGTGAGCCAAAAACTATCAATAAAGCGGTGTATGAAATAAAAGCATCAACGACGAAATTGAATTCGTTAACTTTTGACGGTGATAGTTTCGTTAATGACATAACATCGGGGAAAACAATTTTAACGAAAGAATATTTAAAATCTCATGTTAGTGAGTTCGTTGAAATTGAAAAAGAAGGTGGAATTAAGTTCGATCCACTGAGTTTCATTTTCAGCTTAGCGAATGCAGGTGTTAGTTTCGCTGAATGGACAACTATACAGAGTGAAATAAATGCAATATGGACGTTTTTGGGGTCAAAAGCGGGAATGGGTGAGCTTGTAAATGCTGCAAGAACATTAGGTGAAACAGGAAATTTTGTAGATGGTTTTAAAAGACTTGTTTCAAATGTTTTAACAAACACAAAGAAATTATTTAGATATACCATACATAACGGACGGATTTTCGAACAGTAGCAACAAACCCTCCGGTTATGGCTGCGTTGATGATGGTTAGAGATATAAAACCACGTAACGACGGGAACGAAGAACATGAACAACAGGATACTGGTCGGGTTATTCGAGACATTAAAAACGTGTATCCTGAAGTTATTGATTTATTTAGAGGAGTTAATGATTCAATTTCAAAACATTCTATAACCCTCGATAAGAGAATAAATTAACAGATTATATATTCGTCATTATTGCAGAACTAATGAAGAGAATAAATGAAAAAGGAATTGGTGATATCATTAATGTCAGCGATGTAATGATGAAAAGAAATTTTGACTCATTATTTACAAAACCGAAAACAGAATATAGTCTTTATGACGTAATTACCGAATTAATGAAAAAGATTAATGATAATAAGAGTTCTGGCGGAAGAGTTGAAATTAGAAGTGAATGATGTTAATGAGAAATTAGCCGAAAAAGCAGACAAAAATGAGCTTTTAGCTCTGAGTGATAAAGTCAAGAACCACGTTCATTATATAACTTCAGACGAACAGATTATAACGGACTACCATGGATATTTAACACGAAGTGATGAAGTAAAGACGGAAGACCCCAATGAAAGAAGATATAAATACATTCGTGCTAAAGGTTATGACATAAGCTGTACTGTACAGTATGACACAGGTAAAGCACCAGAAGCATTTGGTTATACCGGTGAAATTTATGCCTCTACTTTCTCTGTTAAAGGTGTATTAGTTGAACCAAGATTTACTTTGAGAGTTAAGTCAAAAATAACGTTTGAAGATGCTATTAAAAGTAAAGCTGACAAAGATGAACTTGACGCAATGAACAAAGTTTTGAAATCTCATAAACACAACATCTCCGATATAAATGAACTTCAAGCTACATTAGACAGTAAAGCCGACAAGAACCATACAAACGAATCCTTCACTACTGTTAGAGCAGACGACATAATATTGAACTATACCCTTGGTTCAAGTGCACCTTTAGAGAATCCAAGTACAAGCGTAAAAGATACACTAAACTCCTTAAATAACAAATGTATGAACATTGAAGGTCATGCCAGAAACTTTGAAGCACATGAACTACCAACAATGTTAGATAATAAAGCTGACAAGAACCATACACATAAATCCTTCACTACTGTTGGTATAGAAAGTATTGAAGGAACGGTTGAAGAAACTGGTGGGGATGCATTATATTGTAAACCTCCTAACTTTCCACAAGGTTTAACATCGGATGACGACATAACGACGATGAGAAACATTAGATGTAAAGATGTTTATGTCATGAAGGATGAACATAATATTAAATTCACTGCTCAAGATTTATATGACAAGAAAGCAGACAAAACAGAGCTTCAAACATTAAAGACAGAAATACTTCAAACATTATATCCTATAGGCTCTATTTATACGTCAATGAACTCAACAAATCCAGCAACAGTTTTAGGTTTTGGTACATGGCAGCAGATTGTAGACAAATTCTTATACTGTGCTAACTCTTCAAAGCAAACAGGAGGTTCGAAGAAAATTACTGAAGCAAACCTTCCACCGCACACTCATACAGGAACTACAAACACAACAGGTAGTCATTCACATTCAATAACAAAAAGAGGTTATACAAATCTTGCAGCAGGTTCGGATAGACAGGGAATGCATAGATATGATATTTCAAGTGACCCAGTAGATTCAAGCGCAGGTATTTTCTGTGGAACCGCAGGAAATCATTCACATACTTTCACAACAAATCCAACAGGCTCGGGTGCAGATTACATGCCACCATTTGTGACTGTATTCGCATGGTATAGAGTTCAATGAACGCGCTTGAGCCTAGAATAAACTCTTTAACTTTACATAAATGAGCTTGAAAGAAGTATTCGAACAACATCCATGGAGGTCATTTAAGAAGTTCAATGAAGCTGCAAAGAGTTCGGGATTTACTAACAGAGCTGAAGTGAAAAGGTTCTTTGACAAAAATGTTGTACATCAAACAAAATAAATCCTACGACTACTTTTTACCAATTTACTCCAACACTCCTGACGCATACCAATTTGACACTCTCATTCAAAGCAAGAAAAGGAGGACATAAACCATTCCTCATCTTCATAAATGTTAACACTCGTAAAGCATATGCATATCCAATGAGGAATAAAGGAACTCGTGAAGTGTTAAGAGTTTTACAAAAGTTTGTAGCAGAACATAGCCCAAGTACTTTAACATCAGACCAAGACAGTGCATACCTCAGCAATGAAATCACAGATTTCTCATTAAGCATAACATAACTCACTACACTACTGAAGACCATAACCATAACATACTCGGCATCATAAACCGCTTCATAAGGACTCTCAGAGATTTAAATCAAGAGCAGACTTTACCGAAGAAACAATGAAACATTTTCTCGAAGTATAATTCCTCAACACATTCTACAACAGGACATACACCAAATTCAATGACACAACAACAAGAAAAAAGTATATACAAAAGAAACTAAGTCAAACACAAAATATCAGAAATTCAAAACAATTTACCCTCATTCCTGGTACAAAAGTTCGTGTAGTTCTTGACGACAAACCGTTGACAAAGAAACGTTTAAGGTTAAGTCGAAATTATTATATAGTAGACTCTACGCAAGGTAATGGATATCTTATAAAAGCTGCTGACGACTCCATAGCATTTTACCCTCGTCATAAATTAGTCGAAAGTAGTAATGCAAACTTGCTGAAACCATTGACGAAGCAAAGCGAGGAGTGGTTATTGAAATACTTGACTACAACACAAACGATGACACTTATAAAAGTAAGATATGAAGGAGGCGTTGAAGATGTTATACCATCTAAGAACTTGAGAGAGTCAAAGCCAACTCATCTGGACCATTAGAGCGGGAGTATTGGAAAGACAAAAATATGCCAGAAAGAATAAGAAAATTCATCTAAACTTTTTCATTAGATGTAAATCAGACATGAATGAGAACAATCATGATATCATTAATGTTTTCATAAATTTACACCAAAAAATAATGTTTAGGTGAAGAGGTGAGATCTCACCCGTTTTTTCACCTGTTTTTCACCCCGTGAATTTTCATGAATTTCCTTATGAAAGAAAAAATAACGCTAATTTTATTTTATTTATTTTTTTTATTTTGTATGTAAAGACAGAAATGACAAACATTGAGTTTTGAAACAGTTAGAAAGATAGACAATGACACCAAAATGGTTAGAATAGGTGATTTAAACGTAAGATACTCAAAGAAATACAACAAATATTCTTTGTCAGACATTATATCTCCATCTGGAAAGAAAGCAAAGGACTGGGTTAGAATTGCTTCTACTCAGAAAATTTTGACAAGAAATCCTGAGCTTATGATATCAGTAGCATTTTCGGAACAAGAGTATATTCATTGACAAAAGTCTTATACCAATAATTCTTCTATGGATTGATCCAGTTGTTGGATATAACTTCATAACATATGGTTCATTCGATACGGAACGTTGCAGTGAAGGCTTACTTTACATCGTTCAGAAACCGAAGGACTTCAATACAAAGAGATATAAGATAGGAAGGACATATAATATAACTCAAAGATATGACTCTACAGTCAATAGAGTCAAGGTTGTGCTTGTAAATGATATGAGAGCTGCTGAAACAGAACTACTTGAAAAGTTTGAGAAAATGTATGGTGCTCCCACGAAAGGTAAAGAAACGTTTGAAGTAGATGAGATAGATAAAGCTATAAAATTATTTGACGAAGTTGCTGAAAAATACATGTAAAGCGTTTATTTTTTGTCTTTTGTGAAAATTCATGAAATTTGGTCATTTTTCACCAAAAATAATGTTTAGGTGAAGAGGTGAGATCTCACCCGTTTTTTCACCTGTTTTTTCACCCCCGTGAATTTTCATGAATTTCCTTAAGACAGAAAAAATAAAGTTAGTTTTATTTTTATTTATTTTTTTATTTTGTATAAAAGATATGATTTCAACAATCGGCACAACAACAATTCAAACAACAACAGCACCAAACTCGTTAGTCATGAATCCTACGTCAATGTTAGTAGAGATGAAAAGCTTCATTCCTTCTTCATTTACTTTCGAAACAGAAATACAAAGAATAAAGCAAGAACTTTTAACAAGTAATTTAGACTGTACCGCACAGGATGAAGAAAATGAAGAATATCTTTATGACATGCAGGACATTATTGACCATTTACCCAAATTGCCTGAAATCCAACAACAAAAACTAACTATTCCTGAATTCGATGAAATTGAAGTTAAAGTTACTGATTCAGTAGAAATAAAGAAGTTCATACGTAAGGTTAACTATGAGTTTCTAGGATATCATTGCAACCATAAAGTTATGGACAAAGATTGCGATATGGTATATAAGAATGTTTCTGATATATATAAATCGGAGGAGTTTAAGACATACGACAACTTTGTTTCATTAGTTGCTGAATGTGTATGGCAGATAAGAGATAAAGATAGAAGAGGTAAAGTATGGAACGGACAAATAAAACCCGCAGCTTTTGAGTTAAAGAAAACCATTGACGCCTTAGTTGTTCTAGCAGGTCAAATTTCAATGTATAACGCAAAAATGAATCCGCAATGTTCTAAATGTAAAGCAGCAATGAGGAAATATAACTACTCCGTCAAAGAGATAGAACGTATGAGAAACGACTATGCTGACTTAAAGAAAGAAGTAGAGAAACCAGTAGAAGATAAAATGGGCATGTTAGCATTTCTGAACAAAAACTATCCAACAGCAGAAGATTTCCTTCTGTCTGACGTCAAGAAGAAATATAAAGAGACTTTCGGCATGATTAAAACATTCGATGTACTAAAAGAAGAAATAGAAGCTACGAAATTGTTTAGGATTTCAAATATACATCATACAATTCATGTAAAACGCTTGTGAAAAAGAGGTGAAAAAACAGGTGAAAAAACGGGTGAGATCTCACCTCTTCACCTAAACATTATTTTTGCTGAATTCAGCACAAAATTCTGAGTAAAATGACATACGGCATGTGTCAAACCGTTGAGTTTTCTCAAATTTTAAAAATTGCTGCGGAAAGTTCGTCAAAAAAGTGAAGGTTCCGATGGTTTCAAACCGCCATACTTTACATGAAGATAGTTTACAATGTCAACTAAATATCATGTACGATAGAAACGGTTATGTAAAGTTTACATTTTGTAAAGTTTTGTCCTGATTCAAGACAAGTCTTGTATTTTTTCAGAACAAGTCTTGTATTTTTTCAAGACAAATCTTGTCCTGATTCAGAACAAGTCTTGTATTTTTTAGTCAGTTTTTCTTGTAAAGTTCTCAAATTTGAGAACAATTGTCCTGATTCAAGACAAGTCTTGTATTTTTTCAAGACAAATCTTGTCCTGATTCAGAACAAGTCTTGCACTTTTTCAGGAAATCCTATCGTCCAACTTTACAAATGTCACTTTTTCAACATGATTGCATTTTGGTCGGGGGACAACTTTCTCTCAATTTTGTCACTTTTTCTATCGTCGTGTTTGTCACTTTTCCCTCAGGGTGTGTGTCAGAAAATATCCAAAATCTTTATAGCCTCGTATCTCCTTCAATTCTTGACGTTTGACATGTATGACACACCATCATTCAATTCAGAATTATGTGCTGAATCTTATGACCTTCATTTGTTCGTGACTTCTTTTCACATATGTAACCATGAATTTTTAACATTTCTTTAACACAGAAAATAAAGTTAGTTTTATTTTTATTTATTTTTTTATCCGGAATATAAAGACAGTAATGACAACATTAGAGAACACAACAACTGCTATCGTTCATGAAGCCATTAATGAAGAATACGAGTACATACAGTATAACAAACAGTTACGTCTCATTCGTTCAGTCAAAGACGACATGTACCAAATGCAAAGTATAATGAATGCTCTTCAGTCTACAAAGCAAGCATATCATTGGTTTGAAAACCAACAGACAAAAGAACTTTTAGAAGAATTTCCTCATATGTTTGCTACCCTCGGAAAACCGAGGGAAGAGATTCCGTACGAAAATCGCAAGAATTTGGCACCTGGTTTGAAAGGTTATTATGTTCATAGACTTTTAGTAAATGCTGTAGCAATGTGGGCTTCACCTCGTTATGCTTGTTATATTTTCATGATGTTAGATGAACTATATAAAGCAGAACGTGAAGAGATGGAAAAGAAACTTCAAGCAAAAGATGAAGTCATTGAATCCAAAGACAAAAGCATACAGAAAAGAATACCACGTTCAGTACCAAAAGGAAAGGAAAAAAGCTATAAGTATATGATATATACTGAAGAGATGGAGAAAGAAGAAGATAAAGATATGGTTATGTTGCATTTAGTCAGAAGAAACAACAAGAGCTTTTATGACCTCGCTCAAATATATAAATCTGACAGAAGCTGGTTCTATCGTGAAAACTTACCGATTTCAATGACACCGAATGAGCAAATAAAGGAAATTGTCAAAAATACTCTTCCTCAAACACACTATGACATCAAAGGTTGCACAATACTTACATTCAAAGAAGACTTAACATTACTGAAGGAAAAAATAACAGAATATTTCGATAACTTCAAAGAGGAAGAATGAAGTCACGACAACATTAACGAAGAGAGAATGAGGTGAAAAAAGAGGTGAAAAAACGGGTGAGATCTCACCTCTTCACCTAAAATATATTTTTGTGCTATATTTACACTCATTTACGAAGAAGTCATGAATCCTACGTCAATTATGTTCGACACTGTAAGCATTAACAATAACATTAACGAAGCATCATGCTGTTCGCTCTTTCGTACCTGTTGTCAAAATGTCATGTTGTCATCATTTTTAAAAGAAGTTAATTAACCTGGTGACACATGGTGACGTGGTGACACTTTCAGTTATTCAAAAATATATTTTTGCTTAAATAGCTCAGGGTCAATTTCTTCAACCATTTCACTTCCTTCGTCAATGTCAATAAAGCTTCTTCAACCTTTGGTAAGAACTTTTGTATGACATCTTTGTTCGTTATTGTCTTCAGAGATGAAGGATAATATTTCACATTTGTTTCACCCTTCTTATTTCTTTCTGTTCGGAAAGATTCATAGTAATACTGAAGAAGTCAATGTGGAGTTCTTTATAATAGTATAATGAGTATCTTTGACATTCACGAAAAACCATTTTGTTTCAAAACTACTGCTAACTCTTGTGAAGTATAACGTTTGCGGTCAATGACGATAGCTAATGTCTGACATACTGACCAAACTTAGATTCTTTCACAAACTCTTGTTAAAGATAACATTAACGTTTGAAGCACCATTGAACTCATTCTTGATGGCAGTAGCGAGAGCATTGTATGAAAAGAACTTGCAATCTTGCATGTGTTTCATTAAAATAAAAATATTAAATTATTTTGAAAAATAACTTAAAAAAAATCTAATCTAATTTTTTCTAAAATTTTTTTTATTTCCTACTAAAGATGTATCGGAAGTTGTCTAAGTTAGAACACTCGGAAATAAAACAACTTCTTACAGAAGCTAACATAGATGTTGCAAAACATTACGCGACAAACAAAAAAAGCACTCGCTGACTTCATTAAAGACTACAATGGTGAAATAACTTATGATAGAATTCATGAGTTCATAAATGCAAGAGCATTTCCTTTAAATGACGTTGCTATTGACTTATATCATAGACGTTCAATACCTCATGAAGTAAGAAGAGAAATGTTTGACATAACAAATGCGAACGTTGGTCATACTCGTAAAGCTCTTTCGCATGATGTTCGTCAAGAGATGTTTGACATAACAAATGCAAACGTTGGTGAAACAAGAAGAAGAGACGACACACTGAAACAACAGAGAAGAGAGATGTTTAAGAGCGCTATAGAACAAGTTCGCAAAGCTAACGATGTCATTCGTTCCATTGACGACAAACCAAAAGAAGGTGAGAGATGGTTAAAGAAAGATGAAGAGAATAGGAAGAGAAATGTGAAGTCAGGCAATAGACTCATTGACTTTAACATCGAAGCTTTAGATGAACCAAACAGAGACTATTTACACAAACATTTCGGTAAGGTTTTCATGAGACTCTTAGAGAAGATTAAAATAAACTCCCAACAAAGATGGATGGTATGTTATAAACTTGGTGGAAAGTATGAATGTTCTACGTTAAACCTCAATAATATTGGAACATTACTACATCAGCTCTTGAAGGAGAACTTTATATCAGAGATAGAAGCAAATGCTGCAGGTATTGTTGAAATGCACTATGACTTCTTCTTGACAAACATAAAGAATCTTACTGAAATAAAGATGTATGATTTAACAGAATATGAAGGCTTAACGATGTCAGATGTAAGAAAGGCAAACCAAAAAGAGACCATATAGAGATGAAAGCACACTGACAGAAGACAGAAAAGATTATTGAACAGACTTAACAAACAGGAGATAAACAAGATATAGATGACTTCTGGAATGAAATCCTTGATGAAAAGAAGTTTTATAAGAAGAGAAGCGGTCAGTTCTGGAAGTATCTTTGCACATTACCTATAAATCTTGAACGCTACCAAATCTTCAATGAACTGAACAAAAGAACTGCAGCACTTATGACAGAAGACAATTGTTTCGTTTATGCTTGCATTCAGGCTGGAGTAGATGAAGAAACTATTGACCACATGAGAGAAGTCATTCGTGTTAGAGACTTTCCTCAAAGTAAAGTACAAGAAATTTCTGACGCAACAAGTATAGCATTTAATGTTACCATTGGTTATTTCAATGACTCAAGACATAATGAAATAAAGAGATACATACCAAAAGAATGTAAAACTGTTCGAACTATTGACTTACTTCTTGTTGAAGACCACTACATGCTAAATGAAAGACTTCCAATGACAACATATTTCATTCGCAACTATATAGAAATCTTGAAGGAGTGTGGTGGAATGAACATTGAGAAAACAGATGAAAATATATACAATGAGAGAACAAATATGTAGTTCGCATGGATAGAACTACACCGCTATGGGATGTTATGAAAACATTGTGGGAGTGCAAATATTTCGAACCTATTTCTTATGGAGAACTTTTCACATATACGACTGACTTATATAAACAGAACCTTGCACCATTTAAAGATTTGACATATGCTCCAAAGTATTGTGTACAACTGAAGAAGAAAGCCGAGTCAAAAGAAGTAAATAAAAATAAGTGCAAGTTCATTCCTGAGCACGTTTTCTTTGCTGACTTTGAGTGTAGTACGGATGGCTTTCATAAAGCTTTTAACATCTGTTATGACAGTGAAGATGGTTCAGTGAGTGAAAGCATATGGGGTCAAAACTGTGCAACAGAATTTTTGGAACGACTTCCTGACAAGAGTTTAATATATTTCCATAACCTCAGTTATGATATAAACTTCATCTTAAGACACATGACAGAAGTGAAAGGAACTCCCATCATTAAAGGTTCACGAACAATGCAAATAACTGGCTTATATAAAGGACGGGCAATTATTAAAAGACTCTTACAGTGTTATAAATAAGAAGCTTAAACTATTTCCTGCTATGTTTAACTTACAAACAGGACCGAAAGAAGTATTTCCATACAACTACTACAGCAGTACTTTGTTAGCAAATGACAACAGAACTGGTGTCATTTCTGAAGCATGTAAGTTTATCCAGGATGCAGATACGTTCATGAAGAACATAGATTCCATCAAAGGTTGCAGAATAGATGAAAACCACTTCGACTTAGAAAAATATAGCTCATTTTATTGTAAACAAGATGTAAGAATTTTAAGAGAAGGTTTTGTTAAGTTCCGCAATGACATATTGAAAGAATTTGATTTAAACGTTTATGACTACGTTAGTATTTGTTCTATTGCTAACAAATTGTTTGAGAACAGAGTATACTTCCCGAATGGAAATCTTTATGACCTCTCAAATAAACCAAGAGAATTTATTTCGAGATGCATTCAAGGTGGAAGATGTATGTTGTCAGATAACATGAAACAAAAGAGCGAAAAGAAACTCATTGCTGACTTCGACGCTGTTTCATTATATCCATCCGCTATAGCAAGATTGTATACTTTAGAAGGAATTCCAAAAGTATTGAAGGATGAGATGTTAAGCACAGAGTATCTCATGAGACATTTATTCGATGACGACCAAAAGGAACCCATTGGTGAAAAGTTTATGTCTGGCTTCTTTGTTCTCATTAAGATAACAGAGATTGGAATATATAGACACTTTCCTTTAATAGTTTGTGACCCTGAACTAAATCCAGAACTTAATGTTCCCAGAAGTTCAAACACTTGCTGTCTCATGTATGTTGACCATATAACATTACAAGACCTTACAAAATATCAAGGTGTCAAATGTGAAGTGTTGCAAGGATACTATTACGATGGAAACAGAGATATTAGAATAAGAGATGAAGTAAAGAAGTTGTTTGAGTTAAGGTTAAAGTATAAGAAAGAAGGAAATCCTTTGCAAGAAAATATAAAGCTCATTCTGAACAGTATTTATGGCAAAACTATTCTATCTCCTATTGAGTCAAAAATAACCATAGTAAATGACAAAGATGCTATAAGATATGCCATCAGAAACTACAACCATATAGTGAAGTTCGAAGGTTTGGATGGTTCAGATAAAACTATTTTCAAGCTAACAAAAAGCATTTGCAGACACTTTAACTTCTGTCCACTTGGTGTTAACATTCTGTCAATGTCGAAGAGAATAATGAATGAAGTGTTTTGCACGATTGAAGACTTAGGATTAAAAGCATTTTATCAGGATACAGATTCGATGCACATTTACAATGAAGACATACTACGTTTAGCTCATGAATTTAAGAAGAGATACGGTAGAGAACTTATTGGTAAAACATTAGGTCAATTTCATTCTGACTTCGCAGAAATAACACCTGGAAAACAAAGTTTAGCATACAAGTCAATATTTTGTGGAAAGAAGACTTACATAGACTTACTCACTAACGATTTAAATGAAGTTGCATTTCACTGCAGAATGAAAGGCGTGAAGCAAGATGTTATTGCTTTAACCGCTAATGAAATGTTTCCTGACTCTGTTCAGTGTTTCTATGATGAAGATAAAGGTTTAATGGTTCCGCAAGGAAAATTTGACAAAGACTCTGAGTTCAGTGTCATGAAACTTTATAAAGCACTTTATGACGGTCAAGAGATTGGATTTGACTTATGTAAGTCATGTCAACCTTGCTTTGAAGAGAAGTTTAACTTCTCAATAACGACTAAAACAAGCTTTATTCGTAAGTTGAAGTTCTGAGGTCATTTATTTTTGTCAGCAATGAGGTCATGAATGAGGTCAGCAATGAGGTCATGAATGAGGTCATGAATGAGGTCATTTATTTTTGTCATGAATGAGGTCATGAATGAGGTCAGCAATGAGGTCATTTATTTTTGTCAGCAATGAGGTCATTCGTGATAAAAATAAAGCTAGCGTAGATTTTACAATACTGCGATGGTAGAGTTTAAGAGTTGTGCTTCAATGTAGAGACAATCTTTCCCATCTGAAGGTAAGAACACTGGACATTTATGGTCATGAGTGGAGAACATGTCTATCCAAAACTCACGATTGAAGCCAGTTAATTTATAGTATTTAGGGTTAGGAAGTGGTGAAGTTCTTGTATGACCAATGAACTCATTTTCAACGCCTTTGGCTATATTAGAGAAAAGAATAGCTTGCTTTCTATCCCAAATGCCAGGTGTTACAATCTTTGAAAATTCATTTTTCCTCGGAAGCATTGCATCATAATTGAAAACATTCTTGAAATCATCACTTGGTTCAGAGATTTGAAATCTTATACGTAATGGATTTTCTTTCTCTTTAGCGACTTCATTGAATGGTGAGAATACAATGAATTGACAGTCATGAGTTCCATCTTCATTTTCATTAAATTCATAATGAAAGTCTATAAGTTGTGGCCGACTACCTTCTTCCTTCAGTTGTGCAAGAAACTCACGTAAAGGCTGTAAAGTTTGTACTTCAATGTTGAACTTTTTCTCGAACATCTCATTAAATGAAATCATACATTGCAACAATGTTGTATCGTCTTTAAAGTATTTGTATATGTGAATGTTTTGGGCGCTTAAAGACTGTTCGTCATTTTCTATCTCGACTTGAAGTATAAAGTCAACCTTTCTGAAAGCACGTGTTATATACATAGATGTTATGCCAATGTACTTCTCTTCATTTATGTTCACAATCCAGTCTGTTGGAAACTTAAACGTTACTCTGTTCCCCTTTATTTTGACGTCAGGGTTTTCACTACTGAACGCAACAGATAAAGGTATTTGTCTATACATTTAATTCGGATAAAAATAAACCATTTACTCTTTCTTTGCTTCAGCTTCTTTAGCTTTTGCTTCAGCTTCTTCTCTAGCTTTCTTTGCCAGCAAACGTGGGTTCTTTTGTCTTCCAGCAGCTAATGCAGCAAGTTGTTTTTCACTAAGTTTTCTCTTTGGTCTCTCTGGCTTTTGTTCTTGTTTTTGTTCCTTCAGTTCGGATAAAATTTGCTCACGAATTTCTTTCTTCAATGCTTCAACATCTATGACCCCTTGGGTCTTGTCCGTAGGGCTTGTCTGAGTCATTTGATTGCAGATAAAAAACAAAATTAAAACTTTAACCGATGTAAAATGAGCTTGTCAAAATCAGAGCGAGAGTCTATTATATTAAATGACGCAAGAGGAATACAACATCCTTTCTATTACGTAAGTCAGAGTAAAGATGGTAAAATATACGTAAGAAAAAGAAAGGTACCATTAGCGAATGCAGAGAGCGACAACATTAAGGTGCATGGCACCGAGGGCGAAGCCCATATAAAACCTTCTGTTCAAACTGAGCCACCAAAAGAACAAGAAGAAAAGAAGCCAGATGTACTTTCAATAACGAACCAAGAGCTTATTGCAAAGTTCGTGAATTTCATTGAAAAACAAACCGAGTCAAAGAACCCTGACCCGCCAGTGAAAGAAGTTGAGACAAAAGAGAATGTACAGTTCATTGAAAATGTCAAGAAACAACTTCCACCACGAATGCCAAGAAGAAGAGTGAGAATAATGAAGTAAATAGATATTTTTATCTGAAGTAAATACATGCAGAACGAACAGCTAAACGAATTTACTCCAGCAGAGCATATTCATCAGATTCGCTCATATTTCGATATCATAGACAATGCAGTTCAAATTGGTGACACTAATAGAAAATATTCTGACGCAAAGATTCCATCACAACCTGGAACTGCTAAAGATAACACATGGGTAACATTCAATCTCTCACCTCCTGGTGAAAATATGTTGGACCTTTAAATACATTCATTACGTATAAAATGGAAGGTCAATTTATTGTAGATAAAGAAATTGGTTCAGGTTCCAATAAAACAAACCCACCAGGATTTTGGATTGGTTTCGATGACGCTTTCTATGCAGTTGCTGGATATCAAATCCTTGCAAATGGTCGTATCGTATATTCTCAAGACAACGCAAGAGAAGAAGCATATATAACTTCAAACTCACAAACTACCGAACAAATAAAGAAAGTAGATGTTTTCTCAAAGACTCGACATGAAGATGTATGGAGTCATTCGGGAACATGCAGAACAGGACAAATTGTTAGTGGTCCAATTACAGCAGGAAAATCATTTGATTTTAAGCTTCGTTTAAGAATTCCTGTTAGAAGATTCCTTCCATTAGAAGCTATTCGATTTATTCCTGCATTTGCTGGTAACATTCAGCTTAAAGTAAAGTTCAGTAGCGACGCATTACAATGCACATCTATATCTGTAAATGATATCATTGCTTTCAATCCAACTCTTAAAGTTGCATTTGCTTCAGATTCAAATCCACCGACAAATAAATTTGTTCCATGGAATGAACCATTCACTATGATAACGAAGGCAGTAGAAGCTAGTGGAACAGTTACTATTACAACTGTAACCCAGCAACTATTTCGAACAAAGATGGATTTTAATGAATGTTTCATTCATCCAAAGTCATTCTCTTTAGACCCTAACATTTATACAGAACTTGTAGAACATTATACAAACGAGGCTTTATGTTTTCCTGTTAAAGTTATGGATTGGATTCCTATGGACGGTTCATTCTCAAAGAATACAGATAGTTCAAGTGCAACATTTACAGCAGCTTATACGCCTATTAATGTTAAAAGTATTTGGACACTATTTAGAAAGAAAGACAACTATTATGTTAATTTTGAGAACCCTAAGTTTAAATATCTTCAGCTTTCCATGGGAGCTTATGGAAATATGCCTGCAGAACCTGAAAAATCATATGGACCTGTATTTTATGAAATGGTTGCGAACGCTTGCAATACAAACAATGATATGATTGGATTTAATGAAGATGTTATGAGGTCATTGGTGGATGATGGTAGTGTGGAACATAAATGGGATAGCTATGACAACACACATTTCTTATGTGGTTTTCCAACTGAAGTGGACTTTTGCTTCCAGCAAGGTCAAACATCTACTGCTCCGATAACATACAAATTGTCTGTTAAAGGACCTATTGAACTAGCAACTGAAAACGTACCAAAGCCACTTATTGGATTTATGAGGGATTGTTGCTTTGCAATACAAGTAAGACAGTCAGGCATACCAATAATAAGACTTGACGACTATAACTTAGCTACGGACGACAGTGAGGAATAAAGGATGAACGTTTATTTTTAAAGCTTATAAATGAGTTCTTCATCAAGCTCTCGTGAACCTTCACCATCTATGAAACAAACTTTACCAAACGATTATGGAGCACCTATTGAATATTTCTTACGAGCTGCACAATGGCAAAGAGCAGTCTCACCAAGGTTAGGTGTTCCACCAGCTCCTGTCAAAAATAGCATTTGGTCAAGTCCTTATATAAAATATGGTCTCCCACTAGGTTTGCTAGCTATAGCAGGAGCAGTTATGATGTTGAAAAGAAATAAAGCAAATGTTGTAAATAATACTGAAGTAGCTGAAGTTAAACAAACTCCGACACCTTCGCCAAAACCAACGTCAAAACCAACGCCTTCACAAGCAAAACCTTCAATGACTCCTGAACCTATGGAAGTACAAACTCCTGTTCAAAAGTCAACTCCAAAACCGACTCCAACATTTAAACCAGAACCTACTCCTCAAATAAATCGTAAAACTCCTGCGTTTCCTTACTGAAAAAATAACGTTATTTTTATTTAATATTAAAATTTTTATTTGATTGAAATGACAAATAAAGTCACTGAAGCAATTAAACAAAAGTTTTTGGTAGAATACCTTAAATCAGGAACTATTCCAGAAGGTTTTTACATTCATACTATGAAGGATGGTAGAGTTCAGTTTAGAAAGATAAAGCAACCATTAGATAAAGAAGGAATTTTGAGAAAGATTAAATTACATGAGGACAACATTGCTGAACTTAAGAAGAAGTTAGAAGAGTTGGAGAAAGGAAGAGAGTTATAAAGTAATGAATTCAAGTGGGTGAAAAAACAGGTGAAAAAAGAGGTGAGATCTCACCACTTCACCTAAATTTAAATGGATGTTTTCATACGTGTGGGAGTGGTGATATCATTAATTTTAAGTTTATTTTTTATTTTATTTTTATTTTATTTTTATATAAATGACGAAAACTTGAGATAACAAACTACAACGGTCATGAGTTCAAGAATTTGTTCTTCGTTCCTCGTGAAAATACATTCTATCAGATACGAGGGAGAAAGGGTAAAGTTAGTTTGAGCGTTTATGAAGGAATGAAGAATGGAAAGTTTATACAAGCATACGATACAAACGGTAAACGTGTTTCATTAGCTTTGTCAAAACTTACTAACATTTATTTTGACAGTGATTTTGACTCTGACGATTGGAGTGACAGCAGCAATAGTGAAGAATATGAACTGTTGTGTGAAGCAAAGCAATGGGAAGAGTTGCAATACTTTTGTAAGTGAGAACGTTTATTTTTTTACAGTAGTGAGGTGAAGTGGTTGGCGGCTTTATAAATATTTAAGGTTAAGTTGGTGTTTGTGTTTGTGTTGTAAAATATACGTTAACGGTTTTGTAAAGTGTCAAATTCACAAGTATTGCGTATGGAGGAACGCAGTGCCTCCATACACGAGACTTGTATACTAACTAAGTTCCACCAGCTGGCACATATGTTCCATCTGCAGCGTAATGTCCTACCTGACTTTTCGTTTTTAAGAAAGCATTTACTAGGTCTGTTTTGGTCTGTTGTAACTCTTTTTCTTGACTTTCCACAACAGTTGCTCTAACGGCGTCATAGGCACTTTGAACTGCCTGTCTCGTTGCTGCATCTGTTATTTTCGTCATATTTTGTGCTACTTCTTTTAACTCTTTGTCGAAACCTTCAGACTTCAGTTTCTTTCCAGATGAGAAGTCGTTCACTAGTTTCACCTTACTATGAAGAGCTTCGAAGGCGTTCTTAAAGTCAGCATTCGTTAAAGCTTCATTTGAACTGTCTTCATCCGCTTGTATTTTTGTCCTTATTGACCCTATAAGCTGGGCTGCTTTAGCGTTGGCTTGGGCATCTAACCAGTCATTGTTAGCTTTTATATATTCTGCGCTTTTCATTGCCTTTTGCATGGCTGCGTCGTTATTTTTACTTTCTTGTGCTAAGTTTTCATACTGTACGGTTTGGTTTTGCAACTGTAAAAGTTTTTCTGCCTTTACATTTGCTTCAACTTCTTTTTTATACTCATCGCTATCCATATATGTCTTCAGGGCTTTTTGTTTTATCTCTTCATCTTTCAGTACTTTATATTGAGTAGTATGGTTTTTCAAATTTACAACATCTTGTTCCATTTTTGCTACTTCTGCTGCTTTTTCTGACACTTTTTTCGCATATTCCTCTGTACTTAGTTCTTTCAGTTGTTCTTCTTTCTTCTTTTTCTCTACGTTTAACTCATTGAGTTTCTTTGTGTGTCTGTCATATTCTAGTTTCTTTTCGTTTTCACCTATTTGTCTCTGTATGTCTATGTTTGACTTTTTGACATCTGCTATTTGATTTTTGAGTGAACTCAAATTCATTTGACTTTGAGGGTTATAGGCTGTTCCGTCTGCAGCTCCACCATAGCCTGCCATTTTCGCTAAAAGTGCCGCTCTTAAACCTCCACTCTGTGCACCAAGAACTCGGTTTAAAAGCATAGGATTGCTTGACATTTGTTGCAACATAGTGGGGTCATTCAGCATTTGTTGTTGCAACTGTTGTTGTGGTGTCAGTCTTACTATTGGATGTTTCAATGCTCTCTTCCTCTTACGTATATTCTTACGTAGCTTACGTGGCATTTTAAGTGAAGTTAAAAAGCGGTTTTATACTAAACATCTTCGGGGCTAGAGGGCACGAAGTGCCTGGAAGCCCCAATACCTTTTTTTTTATATCTGAAGAGAAAATGATAACTTAGAGAGTTTTAAAGATTTTATTTTCGAATACAAATATAGACCTCAGAGGAATACATTCTAAATAAATTTGTATCTGAGGGTGAATAAATAAGAACAAAATTTAAAGGGTTAGCATAAATAATGTAGAAATTAAGATTGGAATTTAAATTTAATACAAAATTAAAGGGAATGAATTTGCGATTAGTAGGGTATGGCAAATGGATTGGGAAACATTGGTTACACATGAAAATTATCAGATGTAAGAATTTGGTGCAGATATTTTAAAAATGAGATCTGAGTGCTTAAACAATATCTCAAAATTCAAATTTTCCAAATGAAAATTTGGAAAATTCCCAAAATGCAGAATCAACTGATGATTTTCAATCATTAATAACGCCAATACAAGAAGATCATTTTCCTTCTGCCAACGAACTAAAACAATGGTTTGATATTGCCCATGATGTTTTAATTAGTCCGCCACCTGAGAATCAACATCCAGAAATTGATGAAGAAGAGACACAAAAAGCAATTTATCTATTACAAAACTTAGACTTTCCTAAGAAATAAAATTATTTAATTTATTCTTGTTTGTTTTTTAATTAAACATGTATATTTATTAACATTTCCTTTTTTAATACCTTTCCAACTTCTATTAGTAACAAACACATAACTAATTTGAAGATTTAGCGTTATGAAGAAGTATCCAAGTAATAACGTCAATAATGCATTTGCGATAGGATATAATTGCACCAAAGGTTAAAACTTGTATAAAGAATGAAAAATGAAATTTAATACAATTTTTTTTCGAAAAAAATCCATGCTTGGCTAGATTTTCATAGTTATTGAATATGCATTACTGACATCTTGTAAAAGATGCCGATCAAGGCTTTCAAGATTGCTAAATTTCTCGATTAAAATTTACATTTTTTTTATTTGTGTTTAATTACATTTTACAGTTTGCAGACTTACATAAAATCCGCAACATAGTGGTTATTTAATATTTGCCCCACAGTATTGTAGTTTGAAATTTACGATAAGATTATAATTGATAAAGTAAGGTTTTGTCATTAATGCATCTTATAAACTTTCATTGATAAATATGGATAGATAAGTTCTGTGTTCAAAAGTAAGCATTTTTTAAAACGCGCAATTATATCAAGAACGACTATCATAAATTCATGAGTATCGATGATTTTCGTTTAGGATGGCCTTAATCGACTTGATTGATATACATATTTTAAAATGGCATAGCTTTGTGCATGTTATGTCAAGCATTGTGCCAAACCAATTTAAAATGAAACAAATTATTTTAAAGAAAAAAAAAAAAAAAAAAAAAAAAAAAAAGGGAGTGGGGCTTCCAGGCACTTCGTGCCCTCTAGCCCCGAAGATGTTTAGTATAAATGAAGTTCTTATATACGGGTCTTCCAGGAGCTTGTCAAGACTTCTTCGTAAAATCAGACAAAAATAATGTTTAGGGTAGAAGGTTAGATATAACCTCTTTTCTAACCTCTTTTCTACCCTCTTGAATTTTCAAGACTTCTTCGTACATGTTTTGTCACTTTTCTGTCACTTTTCAGGAAAAAACATTTTTATTATTATATATAAATGAATTTTACAAAACCTCCGTTACCGTTCTTTGGAAATAAGAGTAAATGTAAAGATATTATATTGAGAGAACTTAAGAAACTACCGAATGGTCTAACATTTGTAGATTTGTTCGGTGGAAGTTTCTATATATCCCATTTGTGCCATACTGTATTTCCTGACTCAAAGATTATATGCAATGACTTCGACAACTATATGAACCGTCTCAAACATATTCCAGACACTAACAAAATATTGAAAGAGTTAAAAGAAAAGATACCTATAGGTAAGATGGAACGTATACCATTAGATAAGAAAAATATTGTGAGAGAGGTTTTGAAAAAAGCAGAATATATAGACTGGGATAGTATATCTGCTAGACTATTATATAGTGGTGCTATAAGAGTTCATGACATTGAAACACTTA